CGCCGAATGACTGAGCCCGCGAGCCGTGAGAAGCCGAGGGCAACCCGACATAGCTCCGGCTTTGAGGGGGGACCCGGGCTAGGGAGCCACTGAGAGTGGGTAGAACTGTACTTCTTTTTACTGCATATAAAGTTACTGTTAAACTGTGAATCCCTAAATGTGTATCTGGAATTAGATGATAGTTTATTATTTAAAAAGGGAGTAGGGTACCCCTGTGTATTCACGCTTGCATTATTTTCAAACTGACTTGTGGAAATATGTACACAGAGCTCAAAACACTATAAACACTCAGTAAATTGTGTTAGATAAAAAAAATGAATTTGGCGTTTCCCTCCTTTCCTCGGAAATTTCTGTACCAGGTTAAGAACTTGAAAGAGCTTTTTCTGTAATCAGAAAAGTATGAGAGGAATGTGTTGATTAGTTCGTTCTTCTCTCCATCCTTCCCTCCATTTCTAACTTGACAGAAGCTAGAGTTTCCTGAGAAGAGGGAAACTTAGCTGAGAAAATGCCCGTCATATTGGCTGTGGGCAAGCCTGTACTGCAAGTTCTTAATTCGCGACTGCTGTGGAAGGGCCCAGTGCAGGCCGAGTCCCTCAGCAGGTGGTCTCCATATGTATAAGAAAGCCGGCTCTGCCTGTCAGGTGGAGCGAGCTAGTAAACAGCTTTCCTCCACTGTTTCTCTTCTATGACAGGAGAATGGCCTTCCCCCCGGAACTGTATGTAACTGTGGCTACTTTATGCGTTTGATAAAACAGTAAAACAGCGTTAATCGTGCCAATCTAAGGAAATCAGAATACCATTTTCTAATCAGACTGTTGAATAATTAGGCATGAGGATTGGGGATTCGGCCTTCATGAAGAACTGTAAACTGAAATAAACACTTTGCTCTTTTGTCACAGCAACAGAAACCTAACTAGGACCAGGATAGTGTGACTGTAGTGCAGTGTTCATTATATGTCATCGAATCCTCACAGCAATCTAGTTCAGAAAGTTAACTCCCAGCGTCACTTAACTATTCATTAGTATAGCTTACTTTTTTTGTGTTTTTTTCGAGACAGGGTTCCTCTGTAGCTTTGGAGCTTGTCTTGGAACTTGCTGTGTAGACTAGGCTGGCCTCGAACTCACAGAAATCCACCAGCCTCTGCCTCCCAAACTTTGGGATTAAAGGTGTTAGCCACCACCTCCTGGTTTGTATAGCTTAGAACTGAACACAGGTCTGTCTTATTCCACTGTCAGAACTGTTAGCGTATTCAGCTTCCAGTAATGATGCCTGGTGCTCTCAGTTACCTACTGTTATGATAAAGCCTGAGGGGTCCTTTCGTGGGGGACCATGGCGGGTTCCATGGCAGGCGAGGGTGACGGAGGCGGAGGGACAAACAAGCCAGGCAGACAGAGAACTTAAGTGAGAGGTTTTATTAGAAAGGGAAGGGAGAAGGAAGGAAAGAGAAAAGAGGTAAAAAGACACAGAGACAGAGAGAGGATAGAAGAGAAATGGGAGGCAGGAAAATTCCTGTCTGCCCAGAGGAACAGTAGGAAGAGAGAGTGGGAAGAGAGCTGGAAAAGAGCAGAAAGAGAAAGGGGGGAGGGGGCAAAGAGAGCTTAAGTGGGCAGGAGTCTGACTTTTAAGGGGGTGCTTTGCACCTGCAATCAGACTAGTACTTATGGAACCCTGGGCTGACCAGAGTACTGCCCGAGTGCATTCTGCCAGGTGACAGGGTCAGGCCAGCATAATGCCTGAATCCTTACACCTAGTAACTTCAGTATTGCTCGTCCCAGCTTATGAGTGCATAAAACTGAAGCTTGGAGAACTTTGTGCAGACTTGTGGCAGTCCTAGGAATTAAGATCTGATCACAGTGTGGTGTCTGTTCATAGGAGCACTGTCAGTATAGGCCTTGGAGGATCAGAAAGGTCCTTTCTTCATCCATAAAACAAATTGAACAGATTTCTGTTATCCCTTATGGGTGTGAATTTGGGATTTAGAAGTGTGTGCTTTTACAATTTTTGTGTGTATGTCTTTGAAGACTGACACACTGCCAATCATGGAGGGGGGAAAATGCACAGCATTTGTGGGTGCTTGACTGACATTTGAAATAAAAGCAAATGATACCCAGGGCATGGCAGAGACGGCTGGGAAGGCTGCAGCAAGAGCCACAAATATTTCATCTTCTCTTGACTTTGTTATAAAGGTTTGAAGCAGACATTTTCATCCTTTCATTCCTAAGGCCTCGGAAGAGTTTTGTGGTCACCCTTTCAGTATTCTTCTCTTGTGCCTTTCTTCTTTATAACTGCTATTTGTTTCCTTTCTCAGACTTTGAAGAATTAGTTCATCACTTGTTATTGCTGTCACCTGTCTACACTGCTTCTTCTGTAGAGATTTCCATTTACCCAGAGCACTTAGCGGTGTCTGCCCCATAGTAGATGTTCATCTATTTGTGGAAAAAGACAAAAACAGCAAATACTATATGCTTTCCATAGAACAGTATTTTCACATTTGATTAAAAAGAACCATCGTGACTACTCAAAGTTTATGAGAGTCATTTAACTGTTACATTGAATATATGCCTGCATGGAGCTAGATATAAACACAAGGATATTGTTTTTACACAGCTGTAAAACCAACACACGGCTTAATGGTAAAGCATTCCTGAATTATTCGTGAGGCCCTGGGTTGGACCTTCAGCCCTGGAAAATAACAAAATAAATGTAAACCAAACTACCATATCAATAGATTCAAATAAGCATACTTTAATGCAGGGTTGTTTTTAAATTTAATGATTGTGGGATATCTTATCTGCATGTGTGTCTGTGTGCCACATGAGTATCTGATGCCTGTGGAGGCCAGAAGAGGACATTGGGTCTCCAGGAGCTGGAGTTACAGAGGTTTGTCAGCCACCACGTGGGTGCTGGGAGTCAAACCAGGGTCCTCTGGAAGAGCAGCACATACTTTAACTGCTGAGCCATCTCTCCAGCCCCCATACTCCACGATTTTTCATCTTACTGTGCTGCAGACAATTTAAATGGGATAATTCTTTGTTATGTGTGTATGGGATGACTGTGTAAAGTATATAAATAGCATTTGTGGGGTCTCCTCCTAGATGACAGTATCATCCCTTCAATTGTGACAACCAAAAGTAGTTTTAGACATTTCCAAATATCCTCTGGAAATAAAATTGCCCCTGACTGAGAAGCCCAGATGTAATTTGAGAGTGTTTTTGCTGGAACTAAATTGGCAACATTGAGTTTAATACACATAAATTGGCAACATTGAGTTTAATACACAAGTTCAGAGCTAGGCATAATGGCTTGTGCCTGTAATCCCAGCCTTTGAGAAGCTGAGGCAGGATGATTGCTGTGATTCAAGGCCAACCTGGGCTGCAGTATGTGACATTCATATTCTTTCTTTCTCTCTCAAAAAGAGAGAAGGAACAGAGGGCAGAGAAGGGCAGAGGGAAAAAGAAAGACTTAACTACAAATTTGACTCTGTGTTATAGGAAATATATGAAAACTTCAAAGTGTACTTTACTATTTCAGGGTAATTAAGCCTAAACTGGAATTTTCTCTTTTAAAGATTTGTTTACTATGTATACAGTGTTCTGCCTGCATGCCAGAAAAGGGCACTGCTTTGTGAGTCCTAGAACTCAAACTCAGGTTGTCAGGTGGCAAAGCACCTTTGCACATTGAGCCATCTTCCTGGCCCTTGTCATGTGAATTCTTTACTATAGGTTGTCTATTTTAAGAGCAAGTAGTTACAACTGGATAAGGAACACTACTGTGTAGTGGTGTAACTATATCGTTACCAGAATTACCAACCTGGTAACAAGGAAAGTTAAAGCTAAGTAAAACCGTGACAGCTTAAGGAAAGAAAATGGAAGGAAGAGCATAAAGAGCCTGGACTGGTGACTAGCAGGCATCGGCTTTCTTTATGACTGTCCCTCTTTTTTGCAGGTTTCCCAGGACTTCCCATTTCTTCACCCCAGTGAGACTAGCGTCCTGAATCGGCTCTGCCGGCTTGGCACAGACTACATGCGATTCACTGAGTTCATTGAACAGTACACGGGCCATGTGCAGCAACAGGTGGGATGCTGTTCTCTGGATATATGCTTGTACAGGACGAAAGTGTTCTCAGGCTCTCAAGTGAATTCACTCGTAAAGTAAGTTAGGAATTTCTGAAATACTCTTGAATTTATGAATCACTGGAAATGCTCAAGGGAAGATAAGATCTCTCATTGCTTTTTCTTGAATAAGAACAACAAAAATTCTGCCCTCTATTCATGAGTCTTACGTAGATTTATCTTACAAGTCATAAGAATTCCCACTTCTCAAGTTCTAAAGGAAGTCCTAATAGTGCCCCACCCCTTTTTTTAAAAGTAAAATAGCAGCAACACCAAAACCCATTCTTTTCATTTTGTGATAAATAAAGATTCATTCCAGTTTTCTTTCTTTATTTTTTAATTTTTAAAAATTTTTCGAGATAGGGTTTCTTTGTGGAACAGCCATGGCTGTCATGGAATTTGCTTCGTAGACCAGCCTAGCCTCAAACTCACAGAGATGCCTGCCTTTGTCTCCCAAGCACTGCAATTAAAGGTATGTGCCACTACTGCCTGGCTCATTGTAGTTTTCTGTAATGCCATATGATCAGAACACAATTGGCTGGTTTGTAAACCAGTCTGTTCCTGTCCATGGTATGAATATTTCTCTTTAGGAACTTTAGGATTCTTCTGGTATTCTGTGTAGCATCTTGTGGCGGCTACCCTGTGCTTTCTAACCCCTGAATCCAAACTTCCTTAGCACATCTGATGCTGAATTCTGTACTCCTGCTACCACTCTGTCTGGTTACCTAGCCATTGAGCAACTGCCATAGCCTCTAGCTAACTTGCTGTAGAATAATCCTTCTGTACACTGTGAATTACTCTCATTGGTTAATAAAAAGTTGATAGGCCTGTAACTGGGCAGGAAGGTAGACAGGAAAGCCAAACTGAGAATGATGGGAAGAAGGAGGGAGGAGTCTAGAGAGATGCTGGCCAGCCACCCAGGAAGCAAGACATGTTAGAGGACAGGTAAAGCCACTTGTTTTGTTTTGTTTTGTTTTGTTTGTTCTTTTGGTTTTTCGAGACAGGGTTTCTCTGTGTAGCCTTGGCTGTCCTGGAACTCACTCTAGACTAGGCTGAATGAATATGGCAATACATGGATTATTAGAAATGGGTTAATTTAAATGTAAGAGTTAGCTAGTAACAAGCTTGAGATGTCCACCTAGCATTAATAATTCATATTTGGCCTCTGAGTTGGTTATTTGGAATTGGGCAATCAGGACAGGAAATGTCCTTTTACACTAACCGTTAACCATTAATTCCTCATATAAAACTGTATGAGATTTAGCTGGGTGTTTGTGGCACATGCCTCTAATCCCAGCACTTTGGAGGCAGAGACAGGTGGATCTCTGTGAGTTCAAGGCCAGCCTGGTCTAAGGAGTGAGTTCCAGGACAGGCTCCAAAACCATACAGAAAAAAAAAAAAAACCAACAACAACAAAAAAAAAACCAAAAACAAAAATCCCCCAAAAAACTATGTGAGATTTACTAGGCCCCTTCTTCCAAAAAAACTACCAAAAGTCACTTTCAGACAAGCCCAGCTGCCTGGAAAGTAGCAGGGACCAGCCATATAACTTGAAGGATTCCTGAAACGCAACTCATATTTTATATAACCCTTCAGTAAAAGTCTCACAACCCCTAGATTTGCTCTCAGATTCCTGATTGTTTTTGGTTTTTTTTTTTTTTTTTTTTATTTACTTTTTGCCAGCCTGGGTGGCACATGCCTCGCCCTGGGGAGGCAGAGGCAGGTGGATCTCTATGAGTTCAAGGCCAGCCTAGTCTAGAGTGAGTTCCAGGACAGCCAAGGCTACACAGAGAAACCCTGTCTCGAAAAACCAAAAGAACAAACAAACAAAAACAAAACAAAACAAAAAAAAGATTTATTTCGTGTGTATGAGTTCTGCTTGTTGCACATAGTGCACCATGTGCATGCCTGTTCCTGCCCAGGCTAGATGGAATTGATACCTCGGAAGTAGGGATTACAGGTGGTTATGAGCTATCATGAGAGGAAGTACCTTAAGACAGAAAGTCAACACCTCAGAATAGCTCCAGGAAGTCCCTGAAACCAGATTTACTATGCCCTCCTCTGAAGCATCCAGAGAAAGAAGCAAAAACAGCTGAGCTGCCTAGAAGAGGTTCAGACCAACTGAGCTACCTGGACGGGACACTCTAGCCTGTTGAGCTGCCTGTTGGGCTGTAGAGTGTGCCCCAGGTTCTCAGCTTTGTGTCACCCATGGTGCTGTGGAGTTTGGTGACACAGCTGTCTTTGACATTTCTGCTCCTGTAAGTAATCTCTCATTCTCATGTCTGTAAATAACCCCATGAAACTAATTAGTTCATCAAGGCAGACTTCAGTGGTATCTGTACTTTGGTCTGTCATGGGTTCCCTGTTTGGGGTGAGTAGACAGCCTGTGTGTTTGTAAAAAACCTTTCCCTTGACAGTTCCATGGCTCAGTCATGTCAGTGTTTCCTTACTGCATCCCCTCACATATACTTTATCTTCAGTTGTTTTCTTGTTTCCTCTCGGTAGCACACTGCTTTGATACAGAATTGTTTAAGTAAATATAAGTACTACTAATACAAGACAGTGTCTTCTTCCTCAGGTTCAGGTTCTGAGCTGAGAAGTTGACTTCTCTTTGTTTGCAGGATCACCATCCATCCCAGCAGGGCCAAGGTGGGCTACATGGTATCTACCTGAGGGCCTTCTGCACAGGGCTGGATTCAGTTTTGCAGCCTTATCGCCAAGCACTGCTTGACCTGGAACAAGAGGTGAGAAGGAGGTAATATAGAAAACAGTATCTTGGGGGTTTGCAGATTAGAGCATGTTTTTGACTCTGAAGTGGCCTTGATAAGGTCAAGTAGTTAAAAGTAAGCTATTTCCTGTGTGGCTGAAGGGTACAGTCGTCAAAGTGGCTCCAGAGTGGATTTGTAAGAACTCTGGTTTTGGTTTATTATCTAAGAAGTAAATCTATAATCTGTTAGCCCTGCAGAGTGAACACTGAGCTGATTGTCACATTGTTTCCTAATTTATGTAGAGCAAATTAATTCAAGTTATTTTGTGTGGAATTCTGATGAGTGTGCTTTTATTACAGTTCCTGGCTGACACACATCTCTCCATATCACATGTCAATTACTCCTTAGATCAGGTATGCATTAGAATGCTAAAATGCTTTAGAGTCTGTTGCTGTCCCAATTTGTAGCACTATGTTAAAGCTTTTTCCCCTAAGGTGTCATAGCCCAATAAATATATTTTGCATGTTTTATTGCTAGATGAGAACTTTTAAGAGTATGGTGTATGCTGGGCAGTGGTAGCGCACACCTTTATTCCCAGCACTTGGGAGACAGAGACAGGTGGATCTCTGAGTTCCAGGCCAGCCTGGTCTACAAAAGCTAGTTCCAGGACAGCCAGGACTGTTACATAGAGAAACCCTGTCTTGAAAAACCAAAGAAAAAAGAAAAAAAAAAAAGTGTGGTATATGTGGCACCTGCCTGTCATCTCAGTGCTCAGGAGGAAGGGGCTAACCTGGTATACAAGTTTTCTTCAGTGAGTCCTGGGCTGGCAGAGAAACAAAACAAAACAAAACCCCAAACAGCAAAAAGTTCCACATTTAATTAGCTCTTAATGTAATGTGAATATTCTCCATTGACATAAATATTGACAGTTACACCAGACTCAAAAGTAGAAATTGCTTCTGACCTTCATTTTCCTGTTTGCAACCAATCCTGATGTCAGATTGCCTTGGGGTACTAGATCTTGGTATTGCCATTTTATCCTGGAAACAAGTGTTTCTTGAGTTGATCTTTATTTAATCCTGTATTTGATTCATACCTTTTTCTCTACTTTTCAGTTCCAGCTCCTTTTTCCCTCAGTGATGGTTGTAGTGGAACAAATTAAAAGCCAAAAGGTAATAACTTTCTGCTCTGATAAATATCAGAAAAAAAACTAACAATGCTGCTTTATAGTCTTTTTTTTTTTTTTTTTTTTTTTTGAAGACACTTGCTTTTGATAGTTTTGGGGTTTTTTTTTGTTGTTGTTATTGTTTTTTATTTATTCATTCAGGGTTATCCCTCTGCTTATTATATAAAATGTCAGAAATGCACAAACAAGACATTATTCTTTAAACACCTTGTGATTAAGAAAACAGAGTAGCCAAGTGGCAGTGGCAGCGGAACACACCTTTAGTCCCAGTGCTCGGGAGGCAGAGGCAGGTGGATCTCTGTTAATTTGAGGCCAGTCTGGTCTACAGAGCAAATTCCAGGACAGTGGGGCTACAAAGAGAAACCCTGTCTCAAAACAACAACAGTTTAAAAAAAAAAAAAAAAAGCAGAGTAAGTGGATCTACCTAAGAATGATACTTTGGATGTTTGGAGGTGAGAGCTGGCTGTACTGAGGGTATAGAACCACTGGCTTTGGAGATGGACAGGATTACGGGGCAAAACCCATCTTGTTGTACTCATTCAAGACACCAATTGTCACAGGTTTCATCAAACATTGAATAGTTAAAGAGTTCCCCATGTCAGAAGATTGTCTTTTCTGGGTGGAATTAATATCTACAAAGAAAAAATGCTCAGAGATTTTACACTATAAGAATTATTTTTTCTGTTTACCCATTATTGAACTAGGACAAGTGAATTAAGCATGCTCAGCTTAGTTCTCTGTTGTTTTGGATATCAGATCTATGCCTTAGGTTATTTGGTGAGTGTAGTTAGCCAGTTGACTTACCCTGTAGTTGCCTTACTTTTTCAGTGAGTACAGAAATTTAAAGCTCTGCTATGTTGATTCTCTGCTGCCAAAGCCAGTAGGAAAGTGCTTCAGAGCCGACTGTCCTTGTTAAAGCACAGTATCTATTGCTTTGCACCATAGACTGTGCTAAGAGTTTTACATATGTGATTACATATGCTCATGGTCACAGAGAGCAAGGCAAATGACAGAATCTGTGTAACTCAAAGACCATCTCTTAACCGATATTAAATAAATGGGAGGGAATCTTCTACATGAATGGAATTAGTAGTGAGGGCGCAGAATTCTACCCCTAGCTGCACATCTCTGTTGACTTTCAGCTTCCATCGACTACAGGAAGATGGGGAGCAAATAGAAGGACTTAGATGAGAAAACTTTGCTATCTGGCCAGGCAGTGCTAATGCTCCACAGTTAAAAACTAAGGTCATTGAGAGCATGAGCTGAGAGGGAGAATGGCCATGGATTGCAAATAAACTCCCCTAAGGGGGTTGGGCTTTTTGTTTTTGTTTATTGAGACAGGGTTTCTCTGTGTAGTCCTAGCCATCCTGGAACTCTGTAGACTAGGCTGGCTTTGAACTCAGATCCACCTGCCTCTGCCTCCTGAGTGCTGGGATTAAAAGAGGGCACCACCTCCATCAAGCTGGGGGATTGTTTTAAAATGGAAATAACCAGGCGTTGGTGGCTCACGCCTTTAATCCCATCACTCAGCAGGCTGAGGCAGGTGGATCTCTGTGAGTTCGAGACCAGCCTGGTCTACAAGAGCTAGTTTCAGGACAGCCTACAAAGCCACAGAGAAACCCTGTGCCGAAAAACCAAATAAATAAATAAATAAATAAATAAACAAACAAACAAATAAATAAAATGGAATAAAGAGATGGTTGTGTAACAATGTAGATTTACTAAAAGCACTTAAATAATACACTTAAGATACACATGTAAATTTAGGGCAAATTATACCTCAAAGTGATTTGTAAGAAAAGCCTGGAGCACACAGAGACCTCCAATTAGGGGTAAAGTCAAACTACTTATATAAGACTTGAGCCTTATCATAAAAGAAAGACCTTTCCTTGGTTTTGAAATGCCAACTCCCCAAGAATCTGGTTTCTTCAGTGAATTGGCTCTCAAACCAGTGTATATATTAGAATCAACCGGAGTGCTTGTTAAACCATAGGTCCATAGGTATCTGGGCTTTACACCCCAACATTTGCATTTCTGTCACTTTCACGGGTGTCCTGGTTATTTACTTGTTTATTTTTGCTTATTATGGAGGGCCCAGCTCAGTGCAGGCAGTGCCAACCTGGGCAGGTAGTACTGGATGATAAAGCAGGCCATAGAGTGTGAGCAGTAAGCAACATTCCTTTATGGCCTTTGCTTCAGTTCTGCTGTGAGTTCCTGCCTCTACTTGCCTTCATGATGGCCTATAAACTATAAGGCTGAAATAAATAAACCCTTTCCCCAACAAATTGCTTTTAATTGTGGTGTTTTATCACAGCATTAGAAACCTAACTAAGGTCCTGGAGAGATGGCTCAGCTGTCAAGCACTGGCTGTACTTCCAGAGGTCCTTAGTTCAATTCCCAGCAACCACATGGTGGGTCACAACCATCTGTAATGAGATCTGGTGCACTCTTCTGGCCTGCAGGCAGGACACTGCATACATATAAATAAATGAATAAATTAATAAATATGGGGGAGGGGAAACATCTAGCTAAGATACTGAAGGAAAGGGAGTCTGTCTTTATGCCTAACTATATAGAAATCTTGTGAGAGACCATGTCAGCCTCTCTGCTGGACTGTGTATGCTTTCTTGGTTGGTGTAGGATATGAGTTTATGTAACCTAGAGTGACAAGGCTATATTTTCCACAGATTCATGGCTGTCAAATCCTGGAAACAGTTTACAAACATAGCTGTGGGGGGTTGCCTCCAGTTCGAAGTGCATTGGAAAAGTAAGTCATGGCTTCCATAATATTGGAGTGGAGGTGGGGGTCAAGTGATTTGACTTGTTATGTTTTATTTTCAGGTCATACCAGGTTTCCTTATAGGAAAATTTTAACTAGGATAAAAAGCCCCAGGGCTAGGAGATGTCTCAGTAAGTAAACCCCCTTGCCATGCAAGTTAGAAGACTTAAATGGATCCCTAGCACCCATTTAAAAAGCCAGGTGTGGTGGCTTGCACCTGTAATCCCAGCACTGGGAAATAGGAATAGGATGCCTGGGGCCTTGCTGTTCTGCCAGGCTAGCTGAATTGATCAGCTCCAAGTACAATGAAAGATGTTGTTTTGAAAAATAAGATGGAGAATTAATGAGGAAGATTCCCAACACAGCCTCTGGCCTCCATGTGTGCACACACATACCCCATACACAAAGAACAGCCCTAGGAGTCACCAAACATGGTGGCATATGCCTGTAATCCCAATACTTGGAAGGTAGAAGCAGGAAGATTAGGGCTTTGAGATCATTCTCAGGTATGCAGAAAGTTTAAGGAGGCCTGGGTTGAAAGCTAAGAAGGTAAAAGAGGAGAGGAAGGGGGAAGGGCTGGTAAAGTGGTGGTATGGGGAATAAGAGGAGCCAGTATTTTTCACATCATAGTCCTTAAAATATTTATACTTTATATCCTATAATGCCACACACTTAAATTTTAACATAACAAAAGTACTTACTTGTGTGAAGATACATGTGCCCTAAGAGGCTATTGGAGAATATCTAGTGTCTTGCTCTATCACTATGCAATTTATTCCCTTAAAATAAGGTCTCTCGACGGGCGTTGGTGGCGCACACCTTTAATCCCAGCACTTGGGAGGCAGAGGCAGGCGGATCTCTGTGAGTTCGAGGCCAGCCTGGTCTCCAGAGCGAGTGCCAGGATAGGCTCCAAAGCTACACAGAGAAACCCTGTCTCGGGAAAAAAAAAAAAAATAGGGTCTCTCACTGAGCCTAGTTAACCAATGGACTCCCAGGATCTGTCTCCCTGTCTCTGTTCGCCAATGTTGGGGTATAGTCATGCACAGCTTTATGTAAGTGTAGGGAATTAAAACTCAAGTCCTGTGCTTGCCTAGTAAGTGTCTTACCCACTGAACCATCTCCCTAGACCAATAGGAAAATTATGTAAAAGAAGAAAACAATTATTCACAAGCATACTCATGCTGTGTTGTCTATCAGGAAATTAGAAAATTTTCAGGAGTATAAAGAACACTAGGGTTGTTGAGCTAGCTCAGCTGATAAAGTTGTTGACTGCCAAGCCTGACAACCTACACATTTTGTCCCTGGAACCCATATGGTAGAGGAAGAGAACAGCTACAAATTGTGCTCTGACCTCCTCATAGATACAAGGTAAAGACATGCCAGCACACATGTACACACACACACAAATAAATAAATGTATTTAAAATTTTTTAAACTAAATATTCACTCAAAAGATTATAAAGCCATTAAAATTGTAAATGTCACAATATATAAAATATTCTATAATGATGAAAAGTGATATATAATTATATTTGTCTTATGATTACTACTGTATTAAAATACAGAAGAAGGGGTTCAGCAAATGTAACTCAGTAGTAGAATAGTTGTCTATCATAGGGCTTGGTCCCATTGCCATCCTGTCAAGAAAGAGGTAGAGTCTGATCAAAGGCTGCCCATATATTCTTATATCATTTTCTTCATAGTTAAAAAAGAAAGTGTAGCATTGTGATGGTTTGAAAGAAAATGGCCCTCAAAGGCAGTTGCACCATTAGGAAGTGTGGTCTTGTTGGAGGAAGTGTGTCACTGTGGAGGTGGGCTTTGAGGTCTTATATATGCTCAAGCCATGCCCAGTGTCTCAGTTCACTTCCTGTTGCCTGCAAAATATAGGACTCAACTACTTCTCCAGCACCATGTCTGCCTGCATGCTGCCATATCCATGTCCCATCATGATGATAATGGACTGAACCTCTGAACTGTAAGCCACCCAATTAAGTGTTTTCCTTTATGAGGGTTGCCATGGTCATGGTGCTTTGTCTTCACAGCAACAGAAACCCTAACTTAGTACAAATATTCGTTACAAAATTGTGGTAGATGGACTCTGATGCTTTTCACACCCCCTTTCCTTTCTTCTTTATGTAGGCATCAGATTGACTTCTCCATGTTCAGTGAGTTGTATAGGTGTTGTCTTCAGCAATAAAGCTTTGCTGTCAGTTTGTCGTCAGCAGTCTATTGTCTTGGCAACAGCCTGGGCTGTTTGGGGATTCCCATGGGATTCTGTTGGCCAACCACTCAATTAGATGTAACCCAGTCCTAGTACTGAAAGCTTCATTTGGTGACCAGAGATGTCTCCCCCAATATTTAGCAATTTCATTTAGATTGCCTTCATATATGTATATATTTTAGGAAGCTTCTACTGTATTAGGTCTCCATACTACCCCTTAGTTAGCCCTTAATTTTAGCTATCTCTGCCCATATGCCTTATCTTGTTCCCTTCTTCTCTCCCACTCCCCACTTAGTCCTTCCATGCCAGGCTTCCCATGCATCCATAACTATCCTATTTCACTTTCCTAACAAGATCTAGTTTTTGGTTTACATTTACCTGATGGCTAAGGATAGTGAACATTTCTTTAGGTGTTTCTCAGCCATTTGAGTTTCCACTTTTGAGAATTCTCTGCTTAGATCTATACCCCATTTTTTGTTTTGTTTTGTTTTGTTTTGTTTTCAAGACTGGGTTTCTCTGTGTAACAGCCTTGGCTGTCCTGGAACTTGCTTTGTAGACTAGGCTGGCCTCAAATTACTATTTGTTGAACATGCTGTCTTTTTTTTTTCTTCCAGTATGTATTTTTGTTTATTTGTATTTTATCAAAAATCAGGTGTCCAATGGTATTTGATCAACCTGTCTTTGTGCCAATACTAGGCTGTTTTTATTACTATAGCTCTGTAGTACAACTTGAAATTGGGATAGTGATACCTCTTATTATTCAGGGTTGTTTTAGGTATTCTGGGTTGTTTGTTTGTTTTCCCATATGAAATTGATTATTGTCCTTTCAGGGTCTGTAAAGAATTGTGTTGGGAGTTTTGATAGGGATTGCACTGAATTGTAGATTCCTTTTGATAGGATGGCCAGTTTTCTATATTAATCCTACTAATCAATGAGCATGGGATATCTTTCCATCTTCTGATATCTTCTTCAGTTTCTTTCTTCAGTGTCTTCAAGTTTTTAATCATACAAGTTTTTCACTTGCTTGGTTAGAGTTACCCCCAAGAGGCTATGTGGAAGGTGTTGTTTCCCTGATATCGTTTTCAGTCTATTTGTCATTTGTATGTAAGAAGGCTTCTGATTCTTGTGAGTTCATTTTGTATCCAGCTACTTTGCTGGAAGTGTTTATTAGCTATAGGAGTTTCCTGGTGGAATTTTTAGGGTCACTTAGGTATAGATGATACTATCATAGCATCTGCAAATAAAGGTACTTTGACCTCTCTTTTTCCAGTTGATCTCCTTAGTTGTCTTACTGCTGCTCTAGTGCGGTTCTGCTTCCTCTTCCTTGGGATTGTTGGCTGCTTTGGGGCAGAAACAGGGAACAGGGTTCAAGATGGCTGTGGGTACAAATGGAGCTAGTTTTCCAGGAGACAGACTTGGGTGAGTCAGCTCAATTTTATTCCAGAGTATAAGGAACTGGTCTGTAATTCTTTCTTTGTTGGGTCTTTATGTGGTTTGGATATCACTTAAATACAACCTGCCAAGACAGTGTTGGCAATGCTCCTTCTGTTTCTGTTTTGTAGAATAATTTGAGGAGTATTGACATGAACTCTTCTAAGTCTGGTAGAATTCATCACTAAAATCACGTGTCCCTGGGCTTTTTTTGGTTGGGAGACTTTAAATAATTGTTTCTATTTCACTAGGGTTATTGGTCTGTTTAAATTGCTTATCTGATCTTGATTTAACTTGAGTATATGTTATATATTGAGTAAATTATCCTTTTAGATTTCCCAATGTAGTGGAGCATGGATTTTTAAAATGTAGCCTTAGGATTATCTGGATTTTCTTACCATCTGTTGTTAAGTCCCACTTCTCATTTCTAATTTTGTTAATTTGGATATTCTCTCTCTGCCTTTTAGTTAATTTGGATAAGGGTTTGTGAATCTTAGATTTTTCTCAAATAACCGACTCTGTTTCACTGACTCTTTGTATTGTTTTTGTTTGTTTCTGTTTCATTTAATTTCATCCTGGGTATGATTATTTCTTGCTGTCTACTTTTGAGTGTGATTTCTTCTTTTTGTTTTAGAGCAGTGCTTCTCAACCTGACAGTCACACCCCTTTGGGGGGTCATGCAACCCTTTTACAGGGGTCGCATATCATATCCTGCATATCAGATATTTACATTACTGTTCCTAACAGTAGCAAAATTAGTTATGAAGTAGCAATGAAAATAATGGTTAGGGACCACCACAATATGAGGAACTTTATTAAAGGTCACAGAATTAGGAAAATTGAAAACCACTGTGCTAGAGCTTTCATCTGTGCTGTGAAGTTACTATTATGAGATCTCTCCAGTTTTTATATGTAGGCACTTCGTGTTATGAACTTCTTTAGGTTAGGGAAATTTTCTTTATAATTTTGTTGAAAATATTTTCTGTGCCTTTAATCTGGGCTACTTCCCTTTCCTCTATTCCTATTTTTCTTAGATTTGAACTCTTCATGGTATCCCAGATTCCTGGATGTTTTGTGCCAGTTTTTTAGATTTAACATTTTCTTTGACCAAGGTATCTATTTCTTCTATCATGTCTTCAATGCCTGAGATTCTCTTCTATCACTTTAGTTCCTAAATTTTTCATTTCTAGATTTACCTCAGTTTATTGTTTACTCTTTCAGGTCTTGCATGGTTTTATTCATTTCCACTGTTTGTGTTTTCATAGATATCTTTAAGGGATTATTCATTTCCTCTTTTATGACCTCTATCATATTCATAAAGGCTATTTTAAAGTCTTTTTCTTATGGTTTATATATGTTGTGATACTCAGGGCCTGCTGTGGTGGGCTCTAGTAGAGATATACCATCCTGGCTGTTACTGTGTTACATGCTGGCCTCCTGTCAAAACCATCTCAATGTCCATTCTCCAACTACCTTCCTGCATTTTATTTTGATTTCTGCATTTTATTGAGTTATAATACATTATTCTGTCAACTTGGTATTCACATATTGAATCTTATGCACTTCCAAGAAAATAAATTCAAGGGTGTATTAAGCAAAATGTTTCTCCATTACATCCACTTATATAAGACTCATCAGGTTTGAAACTTACACAAAATAAAAAATAAGAATTTTTGTCCTAAAAGAACATTTTGTGAGCTTAATCAAGTATATAGTACAGGTTGGACTTAATCAGTCTGTCTATAAGCAGTTAAATTAGTAGTTATTTTTACCTTGTTTTCCCCATGACTCATTAAACTCTCAAACTTCTGTCTGTCCTGTCAGAATTTTAAGCAGTGGTGAGTCTTGGTATTCTTTTAAGTAGATTGGTAAGGCTCTTGCTTCCTTCTCTCCTCAGAATCCTAGCTGTGTGCCATGGAGTCATGTATAAACAGCTCTCAGCCTGGATGCTACATGGACTCCTCTTGGACCAGCATGAAGAGTTTTTTATAAAACAGGGTCCATCTTCTGGTAATATCAATGCCCAGGCTGAAGAGGATGAAGAGGATCTGGGTATTGGAGGACTGACAGGAAAACAGCTGAGAGAACTGCAGGACCTGGTGAGGACACAGCAGGAAGCCCAGGGCAGGCACTATTTAGAGACATCTGCCTGACTGCCTTCCATGAATGGATTAGTTAGAAACACTGGGCTTCCTCTTAATTAGAAACTACAAAATAGAAAGTGATTTTGAAATCCTTATTTCTTCTTTCTACATTACGTGCATTTACAAGTTCAGTGATAAGTTTTATCTCTGCAAATATGAGCTTCCCTGTAGCTTTTCTTGTAGTTTGGAGTTATAGACTCCTCAGACTTGTATTGTCCACATTCATTTGTTTATTTGGTGGCTCATTTACCTTGTTATATTCATTAAATGTCTGTTATGTACAGGGCACTCTTATAGGTGCCCAACTACATAAACAAAATGTAGTTCTTCTCCTTAAGAAGCGGATAATGATGGAAAATAGAGAAAAGTAAGTAATTACATTACAGTTACCATATGCTCTGCAAAAGAGCACAGCTGTTCTTGGAAGGTCGTGAAGTGGGGTTTTAAAACTAGAGAAGACTTTTCAGTGGAATGTATTTCTACATTGCAGTTTGGTAAGATAGGTCACAGCCTGCCCAGGGATTGTATAGGCTATTAAGGATAAGGCTCATTGGAAGAACCATTTAAATTTCATCTGAAATGGTCAGGTAAAGGTAAAGTATTTGGGGTATGTGTAGCATGGTGGTGCATATCTGTTATCTCAGTTCCTTATAGAACAGGCTGAAGTGGGGGGGGGCACAATTAGTGTAAGGCCAGCTTGGCCGACAGATGAGACCCTGATTCACCCTCACCCAATTAAAAAAAAAACATGTAATCTCAACACCCAGGAATCAGGAGCAGAAGAATTACTCCCAAGTTTGAAGCCACTCCTGTCCACATAGGGATTCTAAGACAGCCTGAGCTACAGAGTGAGACCCTGTCCCCAAAACAAAAATCAAGAGTAGAGGCAAATAGACTAGTTAATAGAGGCTTAGGGGTTCTTAAGTGAAAAATAATAATTTCAAGCATGGTAACAGTGAATTTGGAGGCAAATAGAGAAGCCCAAGAGGTCTTTAAAAAATGCAATCCATAGCCTTTAGGGGTTGGCTGTGAATCAAGAGGAAAGTTGCAGCCTTTAGCAGGTAGGCACTAGGTAAGTAGTGATGATAGGCAATGTGTATTGCTGGTGCTCATTTTTGTGGGCATCAAAACTGAGGCCAGACAAATGCTCTACCTTTGAGCTATATTCCCAGCCCTAATATGAGATGTGTTGAGTTTAAGGAGCCTGTGGAAAATGTCCATTGGGTTCAGCCTGGAAGAGTGCTATTGCTTTCTCTGAAGCTAAGCATGGAGTAATCAGCAGCAACTTAGAAGTTTTTAATCTATGGCCCATGAGAAACTGCAAGAGGTTCTCTGTACAATGTCTAGTATAAGGTCCACAGCATTTATATTTGAAGACCTGTTTAAACAATCTGTTATGATGCCCAGTGAACCCACATAAGATGTTATCTTTATAAAATGTAGAACAAGAGAGAAGACTTTGGGATAGGTCTTGACAGAGCAAACATATAGACAGACAGACAGAGGAGCTATGTAGATATATAGACCTGGAGAATAACAACCAACTCTTGGAATTATGCAAATGAGAAAGCTGATTGCCCACCTGACACAGTAGTAAAGCCTTATATTTAAAAACTTGGTTTTAGGCTGAGGGAATGACTCCATAGGTCAAAGTGGTTGTGCAAGTGTGAGAACCTGGGTTCAGATTCCCAGAACCCATGTTAAAGCCAGATGCTATAGTGTGAACATCTCCAATGTTAGTGCTCCTGCAGTGAGATAGGAGGCAGAAACACAGAAGAATTCCTGGAAGCCTGAAGGCCAGCTAGCTTGGCATACACAATAGAACAAGGAGACTTTGTTCTCAAGGAAAAAGGTAAGGACCATCGCCTGCAGTGGTCCTCTGACCTCCACACGTACACTGTGGCCCATGTGTGCCCACACTGACATGCATTGCATACACACATACACAAAAGTAAATTAAAAAGAAAAACTCAGTACTTTCCATCATGCCATTAGTCTCCATGAAAATGGAATACATTTCCAGAGATGATGATTTAAGAATTGTTCAACTTCAGATTTATACCCTGCTTGCCAATATCATAGATCATGGCTTGGGAGAGCTAAGACCTATTGTCAAACTTCATGAGACTGTTTATTTCCTTGACTAGCGCCTAATTGAGGAAGAGAACATGCTGGCCCCATCTCTGAAGCAGTTTTCCCTTCGGGTAGAGATTTTACCATCCTACATTCCAGTGAGGGTTGCTGAAAAAATCCTGTTTGTTGGAGAATCTGTTCAGATGTTTGAGAATCAAAATGTGAACCTGACGAGAAAAGGTAAGAATCCCCTTGTTCTCTTGGCCACATCTGAAAGGCTCTTCATCTGTAATGCTGGCCCAAAGCATGCTGGGTTAGAGTGACTGGTGACAGCTCTGATAAGTTTGCCTGGGCACCTGTGGCCCCTGCACCCCCTCTAATGACTCCTGTCTGACAAGAGCTCCTTGTCTCCCACAGGGTCCATCTTGAAAAACCAGGAGGACACTTTTGCTGCAGAGCTGCATCGGCTCAAGCAGCAGCCGCTCTTCAGCCTCGTGGATTTTGAGCAGGTGGTGGATCGAATTCGTAGCACTGTAGCTGAGGTATGTCTTCTATCTAACATTGTTCCAGAAGAAATGAGTTTGGGGAGGATTAACGGGAAAGAATTGGGGGGGGGATGACCTATGGTTAAGGGCCCTGGATTTGACCCAGGTTTGATTTGAAGGACCTACATAGTGGCTCACAATCATCTGTAATTCCTGTTTCAGGGGGTCTGATACTCTATTTTGACACCATAGGCACTAAGCAGACATGTTGTCTACAGATAAACATGTAAGCAAATACCCTTACACAGAAAATAAGAACTCCCCGTTTTTAAAATAGAAGTAGAATTTACCCTTCTACAGGCTTGTTTTAATTACTTTAATTGACTAAAGGGGAAATCTTAATTATAATTTCTAACATTCATGAGTTTGGGTGATGAAAGCTGTGTGTGTGTGTGTGTGTGTGTGTGTTGTGTTGTGTTGTGTTGTGTTGTGTTTTAGTATCAACCACATATTTCACTTATTTAACTTGTACCCAGGAATCTTAGGAGGAAAGCCAAGCAGACAGGATGGTGGTCCAGCCCTTGGAAGGGATGAGTAGTGCTTCTGGGTACTAGTACTTCTTGAGCTGAGGGTACTTATATTAGTGTGATACTTTTCTGTATATTTGTCATTATTTTGATAATAAGGGTTTTTAAATTTTTGTGTAAGGAGTTTTTTAATTGTATCTTCAGTTTGTTTATATAGAGAAATAGTAGTGCTAATTTATTGATGGCTAATCTTACAGATTCCCCTTAACTTTGGGTATAGTTGGAATTTTCTTTGGGCCACCAGCCAGCTCCCAAAAAAAGGCATAGAGACTTATTACTAATTATGAATTCTTCACGTTAGCTTAGGCTTGTCCCATTCACTCTTTTAATTTAACCTGTTTCTATTCATCTGCATTTCTCCTCTAGTGTTTTTACCTTTCTTTCATTCTATATGTTCTACTTTCCTGATTCCTCCATGTCTGGCTGACCCCTGGGGTCTATCTGGCATCTCTTTGCTTTCCCTGAGCCTAAATGTCTCCTCTTACTTACTCTTCCTACCCAGAAGTTCTGCTTATACTTCCTCCTCCTTCGCTATTGGCCATTCAGCTTATTAGACTAGTCTGGTGCCTTAGACAGGCCAAGGTAAAACAGCAACATATCTTTATATAATTAAACAAATGCAGTACATCTTTGCGTAGTTAAACAAATACTCCAAAAACATTTAGGGTGCTAGTGATTTGAATCTTTTTCTATTCTTTTTTTGTCTTTTGTTTTTGTTTTTTGGAGACAGGGTTTCTCTGTATAGCCCTGGCTGTCCTGGAACTCACTCTGTAGATCAAGCTGGCCTCAAACTCACAGAGACTCACCTGCCTCTGCCTCCTGAGTGCTGGGATTAAAGGCATGCGCCACCACTGTCCAGCATTCTATAAATTTTTAAAAAGGTATTAAAGATGACATCATCTAAAAATAATAAGTGTTTTACAACATTTTCCTCCAATGTTTAAACCTTTTCCCTGTGTACACTGTTCCTTCTTTTCAGCTAGGATCTTTAGTGATACATTAGACAGCTGGGCTTTGTTTGTATAAATTGTGTCAAACAGTAGATGTGATAATGGACATCTCTGATTTTTTGACTCCTAGAGATTATGCAGATAATTCCTGCATTACTATGCATTTATAGGCTTCTAGAACAGAAGTTTATTAAAGAATTGTCTTCCTAGTTGATGGAGTTCTTATCATAAGAGATGATCAGCTTTTTTTTTGTTGTTTTTGTTTTGTTTTTTTGTTTTTTTCGAGACAGGGTTTCTCTGTGTAGCTTTAGAGCCTAACCTGGCACTTGCTCTGGAGACCAGGCTGGCTTCAAACTCACAGAGATCTGCCTGCCTCTGCCTCCCGAGTGCTGGGATTAAAGGTGTGTGCCACCAACGCCGGCAAGGGATGATCAGTTTTACCACCTGCCTCTGTATTAGTAGAGTGTTCTTGCTTTGGTCCATTTCTCTCTCTTGTAGTTTTTATATCTACGTTCATTAGCTAAGTAAGACTATTATCTGTCTGTCTTGTTCCTTGGTTGTTAAACAGTTTATATTTATATTAGGAATTGTTACTAAAGTTTGAACCTATCTAAAGTGATCCAAGCTAGGCTTTCTTCAGAAAGAAAAATTTATCAGTTCAGTATTTTTAAAACTAAATTTACCATAAATTTTTTTCTTGTAATTGTGGGGGCCCATACAAGGGGACCAACAGGTAGCATTGAAACTCATGGAATGCACCTTGGCAGTTGGCAAAGCTATGCCAGAGTGAGCCTCGGAGGGGCGAAGCCTGAGGACTGGGCATCCTGAGACCTCATGCTGCTATTGAGCATAGCCTTCTCAGTCATTACATCCCTCATAATCTATGGGTTGTATGAAAACTCTCAGGGTGATTCAACCACCACCCTTAGAAAGAATTGAGACACATAGAATTGTAAGGTTAGCTTATGGTATTTTTGTTAATGGCTTTAAAGTAGGAAAATCTTGAGAAACAATTTAAAAGTTTAGAAAGGCACATGATTGAGTGAGGGACTTGTTGAGGTCGGGGAACAAAAACAATGACAGCCTGGCTACTGCTGGCTGATGTACCTTTCTTGCTAGGATGGGTTGATGATCAAGAGTGTTATTAATTCCTTGTACCCATTTCTACCCTCAGCTTCCGGATATTTAAAAAAAAAAAAAAAAACTGTTAATGAGTGGGTATGCACCTCGAGGACTTCAAGTAGAACTGACTGTGTTTCATATATTAAAGTTTAGATTTGTGATTCTTTTAAGATTTCTTATAAGATTACCTTTTGAAATAAATAATAAAATGATTGATCCTTTCTTTGTAACTGCAAAATGCAGTCTGCCAGTAAAAGAACTGGCTGAGAAACTTGTTTTTCATCTCTAATACATGAAATGTTTAATTACATAAGGGATATGGAAAACGTGCTGTTCTTTACTTGTATTTATTGTAATCATTCACTTGAAAATAGGATGTAATGGGGCTGGAGAGATGGCTCAGAGGCTAAGAGCACCGACTGCTCTTCCAAAGGTCCTGAGTTCAATTCTCAGCAACCACATGGTGGCTCACAACCATCTGTAATGAGATCTGGTGCCCTCTTCTGGTGTGCAGATATATATGGGAGCAGAATGTTGTATACATAATAAATAAAATCTTTAAAAAAGAAAATAGAATGTAATGACATTGTAATTTTTACATTGCTTGAAAGATTTTGCTGGGGTATATAAGATGTAAGGGAAATAAAGTTAGCTAGAAGGAAGAAATCAAGAGAGACAGAAGGGATACATCAGTGTAGAAGAACAAAACAGAAAAAGAGTAGTAGAACAAGCAACAAAAAAAAAATAATAAGAACTAAGCCTTGGCCTGCAGAAAAGTCCTCATGTGTCTGTCTGTCCAGTAGTTCACCTGCTTTGCATTTCCTCTTTAGTTTCTCTGACCTGCTGAAGGCTTGCCATTCATCAGCACACTAGGTGAAGTCCTGACATGCTTGTTGTATGTGTGTGCTTGTGCTTGCGTGCGTGTGTGCATGTTTCCCATTTGAGCCTGCCCCAGAGAACTGTTTTACTCCCTCAGATAGAAAAGTCAAGTTGAGTGATTAGTTCACCAGCTCAGTGGATCTCTCTCAATCCCTGAGCTGCTGAAAGCTGGTCCGCATGGCAGCAATATGTAACAATTTGGGTACTCTGCAGAACTTAACTGTTTCAGATAGATTTAATTTTTTAAATACTTACTTGTCTGAAATTATGTTTTGTTTACTTAAATTTTGTGTTTTAAACATTTTGTGTGTTTGTGGTATATGTATTTCTGTTGCGTGCATGTGTGCACACACACATGGGCCCCAGAGATCACCTTCTGTTATCTTGTTTTTACTCTCCATCTTATTTTTAGGACAGTGAGAGCCAAGAGTTTTCTGTTTAGGCTAGACTAGCTTGCCAGTTAGTCAGTCCCCAGTATCTACTTGTCTAGCTGTCTTCTAGCACTGGGCTATAGACATGAGCCATTTACCCAGCTTTTGCATATGTGCTGGAGATCTGAACTTGGGTCCTTGTGCTTGCTTAGCAAGCTCTTTCTTCACGCAACCATCTCACTCGCCCCAGTTTTTCTCATTATTGTTCTGTCTTTATAGGCTTTATTAAGATTAATAAACTAATTAGAACTATCTTTTGTTTCTTATTTTCCCTTAATTTATAAATTCTTTAGGTAATTTTTACTTTCTCTTTTTCTTTCATCTTATTTAAATATTAAGACATACTAACTTGTACATAAAAACAAATTATATATAAATGGAAAATCATGTATTTCAGGGTTTTTTAAAATTTATTTTTATTGTGTGCATTGGTGTTTTCCGCTGGGTCCCAGAATTATAGACAGTTCCATGTGGGTGCAGGGAGTTGAACCTTGGTCCTCTGGAATAGCAGTCAGTGCTCTTAACCACTGAGCCATCTCTCCAGCCTCTCATATAGTATTTCAATGCATGTATAAGTTGTATATATATTTTTTTACATGTATGGGTGTTAAGCCTGCATGTATATATGTGTATCATATGCCTGCCTGGTGTCCTTAGAGGCCAGATGAGGGTGCCAGATTCTCTGGAACAGGAGTTACAGATGGTTATGAGTGGGTATTGGAAATCAAACACCCATGTCCACTGGAAGAGCATCAGTGTTCTTAACTGCTAAGCCATCTCTTTAGTCCTTAAAAAAAAAAAAAGGATTTTGTGGCATAAACAAGGTTGGCCTGGAACTTGGTCATCTTCCTGAGATAGTCTCCCAGTACTGGGATGACAGGCATGTGCCACCAAGCCTAGCTTGTTTACTTTTTATAAATCACCAGTAAGCCAAGTGGGTGGTGGTGGCACACACCTTTGATCCCAGCACTCAGGAGGCAGAGACATGGGGGGATCTCTGTGAGTTCAAAGCCAGCCCGGTCTACAAAGTGAGTTTCAGCACAGTCAGAGCTACACAGGAAACACTGTCTTGAAAAACCAAAATAAAATAAAATATAAAAATAAAAATTGTATTTAATCCAGTGGTTTTTAATTTCACAGTTGTTTGCGCAGCTTTACTGTTAATTTCAGGACATTTTTATCCTGCATAGGTTTTTGTTTTGATGTATCTGTTCATTCCTAGGGCTAGCTGAACTTTGGGTCTCTGTAATGAACTTAAGATTTTTTGTTTGTTTTTTTACTCTTATCACAGCACCTCTGGAAGCTAATGGTAGAGGAATCAGACTTACTGGGTCAGCTGAAGGTAATAAGTGATATTCTTTTAAATCTTGGGATAACTGTGGAAAACACTCTTGCCTAGACTCATTGTTCTTACTCGGGCAAGGAAATTATATTTGATGCTACAAATCTTCTGAATCCTGAAGATTCAAGTTTACTTTCTTCTGTTGTGATCTAAATGCCATCAAATACATAGAGTCCTCCTGTTTTGAATGGCTGCTCTGTAATCATCTTTAAAATACTAAGCCTGTGTCTTTCAGACTGATAGCATCAGCCCCTATGTATCTAATTCTCTCGGGTAGTAAAGGCCTCAAGGCTCTGATTTACTGAACTGTACATTGAAATTCTGTTCTGATTTACTGAACTGTACATTGAAATTCTTTCCTCAGATCATTAAAGACTTTTACCTTCTGGGACGAGGAGAACTGTTCCAGGCCTTCATTGACACAGCTCAACACATGTTAAAAACACCACCCACTGCAGTAACAGAGCATGGTAATTGTCCTATGGCCCTGAGAATAAACAGCTTGCTCAAGTTGCTGGGTGTTTCTTGGCTGATGTGTTGTACATTGTATGTTTGCCTGCACAGGCCAGAAGAATGAGAACTTGAGTCACAAGTTTATGAGCTGCCATGTGGGTGTGTGGAAGGGAACCTCGGTCCTCTGAAAAAGCAGCCAGTGCTCTTAACTATCAGTGCTCTAGCCATCACACCCTATTTTTATCTTATAAATAATAATGGAAGCCGGGTGGTGGTGGTGCTTGCCTTTAATCCCAGCCTTTGGGAGTTGGAAGCCAGCATGGACTACAGAGCAAGTTCCAGGACAGGCTTCAAAGCTACAGAGAAACCCTGTCTCAAAAAACAAAAAACAAACAAAAATGGAAACCCAGCCTGGGAAAGCCTAGTTATAGCTATAACTCTCTTGTGCTTGGGGTATTACTGGCTGTCAGGACAAGTAAAGCAAAGGTCTTCAGTACTGTTAAGACTTTTTTCCTTACCTTTGATGCCCCCCCCCAACACACACATACACAAAACAGCCTAGCCTGGTTTCTAGCAGCAAATTAAAGAAGTCTAGTGAAGTGCTTAGTTTTATTTGGCCCTCCCCATGTCACATGGCTATCACTGTAACAGTGAAGTGAGGTGTTAGGATATGTCTCGTTCAGCAAAGTGTCTTCCCCTTGGCCAGTTAATGGCTGCCTCCACCCAGACACAAGAAGAGAATGTAGTAAGGATCCAAGCCAAGAAAAAGAAAATGGGAGGGAAATGGAGAGGTTTGTTTTTATAGTTTAATGAGACAATAGATAACTACTGTGCTTTTTTGTTACAGATACCAGAAAAGCCAGTTCAGACTCACTTAAGCAAATAAATAAAAAGGATAGATTTTATTCTCATAATCTCATATGTGATGGTTTTGGGTAAAACCTAATTATCTTTGTCTTCTTAGCAGGCAGGGTAGGCTCTATCCAGTGGTTTTCAACATTCCTAATGATGTGACGCCCAATCATAAAATTATTTTTGTTGCTACTTCATTACTAATTTTGCTACTGTTATGAGTCATGATGTCCATATCTGATATACAGGATATCTTATTTGCAACCTCTGTGAAAGGGTTGTTCAATCCCCAACCACTGCTCTTGCCAGATTTATGTTTCTAAAACTGAAGAACTACATTTTTTCAAAGTCTGAAGAGAGCCTCTGGGTTGGCCTGAATTAGAGCAAGTCTATAAATAAAACAACCAAAAGGTCAGCTGTCATGACCCATTGATCATGCTGCCTTCCCAAGAATTGGGTATTGCCAACCCCGCTGACACTACAGGAATTGTACTGATCAGGGGTGATTCTCTTATTATTGTTAATAAGGACAAGGAGAAATTAATGCTGGACAGACAGAAGTCACATATGTCCTGGCCCTAGCTGAGCCCTACTGTTGCTTTCCTGTGCTCTTTCTGGCAGATGTGAATGTGGCCTTTCAACAGTCCGCACACAAGGTGCTGCTAGATGATGACAACCTTCTCCCTCTGTTGCACTTGACAATTGAGTATCATGGAAAGGACCACAAAGGTTTGTTAGTCTCCTATTGCCTCCTCGCTGCATCTTCTTGTTTTCATAATTTCCCTTCACAGAAACTGTAGTTTGGACCTTAGGGATCACCTAATCTAGTTCTCTAATTTTTTTTTAAGATTTATTAATTTATTATGTATACAGTGTTCTGCCTATATGTAGGTCGGTAGGTCAGAGAGGGCACAGATCTCATTACAGATGGTTGTGAGCCACCATGTGGTTGCTGGGAATTGAACTCAGGACCTCTGGAAGAGCAGCCAGTGCTCTTATCCTCTGAGCCATCTCTCCAGCCCCTAGTTCTCTAATTTTGTACAAGAACACAATTCCAGAAAGGTTCAGGTGCTCTGTCCACAGGTTTTTGAAATCACATCTGTATTTTTGTTTAAGATTCCTCTCAGCAAAGCCCTCACAGGAGGTTCCTCCCCTTTACTTCTGTTGCCTCTCAATGCTGCTGTTTAGCACCACTGGTGTCTCATTTGATGTGTGCAGTTCATCTTGCTCTCTCTGGTTCTAATTAACCAAGTTATTTTTCATTATCTTCTTATCCATAGCAGATGCCACCCAGCCAAGAGAAGGGCCTTCTCGGGAAACGTCCCCCCGGGAAGCCCCTGCTTCCGGGTGGGCTGCTCTAGGTCTCTCCTACAAAGTACAGTGGCCACTGCATATTCTCTTCACCCCAGCTGTCTTGGAAAAGTGAGTAGTTGTGAGTTTCTCCCAGTAAGTATTACCCACCTTACATCCAAAGGAAGCAGTAAGTGAACAGATACGATTGGCGGAAGCAACCTGTCATCCAGCTGGTTTCTATACTGGTTAAGCTAGAGGTTGCAGACTCACCCGTCTGCAGGAGCCTACACAGGGGTTCTAGTTTGTTTTCTGTTGCTATGAAAAAGATTATGATGAAAAGCTATGTGGGAAGAAAGGACTTATTTGGTGTATATATCTAGATAACAGTTCTTCATTGAGGGAAGTCAGTGTAGAAATCCATGCAGGAACAGAGGCAGAAACCACAGAGGAATGCTTCTTACTGGCTTACTCCTGTTTGCTCAGTTTTCTTTCTTACACATCCCAGACCCACCTGTCCAGGTGTGGTGTCACCCACATCAATCATCAGTCAAGAAGAAAATACTCCACAGGTTTGCCCAGGGAAATCCAATGAAGGCAGTTCCTTAACTAAAGCTCCTTCTTCCTAGGTAACTCCAGCTTGTGTCAAGTTGACCAAAAAACAAAAACAAACAAGCAGCTCACATTAATAAGTGAAGTGACAGCCATGAAACAATAGGGAATGGTAAGGACTTGAATGAATGGGAAGGCATATAGCCACTTAGAATCATCAGACTAGGCTGGAGAAAAGACTATGAATAAAGGTGAAGACCAAAGTTCAGATCCCCAATGAAGCGTGTGTCCATGCCTGTAGTCCCAGAATTTCTGCTATGAGATAGGAGGAAGAGACAGGGGAGTATCAGTAAGTACACAAGCAAGCCAGTTTAACATAAACAGAGGCAAGCAGCAAAAATACCCTGTCTCAAACCAAGGTGTAGGGGGATGTCTAATTTGGCATTCACATGATTGCCAGGGCATATGCCCACCTGCATTCACTCACACAAAATGACACCTTTAAGATTTTTTTTTTTTTTGTAATGTGTCTTTGTTTGTGCATATGCATGCTGGTTCCCATGGAGGCCAGAACTGGAGATGGTACAATTGTGAGGCACTCAGTATCAGTGCTAGCAACTAAATCCGGTCTCTAAAAGAGCCACAAGTGCTCTTAACCACTGAGCCATCTCTCGCCCCCAGACTTTGAGACAGGGTTTCTATATGTAACCCTGGCTGTCCTGGAACTCACTTTGTAGACCAGGCTGGCCTCAAATTCAGAGGTCTGCTTGTCTGTTCCCCAAGCACTGAGATTAAAGGTATACACTACCATGACTGGCCCAGATTTCTCTTTTTAACTGACAAGTAATAAGCAATTGTAGGCTTATTATTTGTAGATTAGTTTGTAGTCTCAAATATGAAGTCTCAGGTAACACACTGAGTTCTAGCACTTGCCTATTCCATCAGTCCTTAGAAGTTACCCCTGATTTTTATGATTTGTTGTTGATGATGTTAATTTACTTGGGACCCTTATGTTAGTTAGATTTCTGTTGCTGTGATAAAGACTATGACCAAAGGGATAGGGTTTTATTTCAGGTTGTAGCATATAACATCAGGAAGGAAAGTCAGAGCAGGAATCTGGAGGCACAAACTGAAGCAGAACGCATGGAGGAATGCTGCTTACTGGCTTGCTGCTCATGGCTCATTCAGCTTCCTTTTTATACAACTCAGGACCTCAAAGGGATGGTACCAACCACTGTGGGCTGGGCCCTGTGACGTCAGTCCTTAATTAACAAAGTGCCCCACAGACTGCCTACACATCACTCTAAGAAGACATTTTCTTGTAGGTGGATTTTTCTGTCCTTCCTGCCAGCTCCCACTCTCCACAAGGAGGCTTAATTATAATAGCTCAGCCAATAGCTTAGGCTCATTTCTAACTAGGTCTTATAATGTAAATTAACACATTTCTATTAATTTACTTACTGCCTCATGGCTTTATTACCTTTACTCTGCCCATGTTGCTTTCCTGCTTCTTGTGTCTGGCTGGCAACTCCTTACGACTCCACCCTTCTTTTCAGTGTCCTCTCTGCCCCGAAAATCCTGCCTGGCTATTGGCCCTTCAATTTTTTATTAAACTTATCAGAGTGACAAATCTTCAGAGTGTACAAAAAGATGATTCCACAACATTTCTCAAGTGAGGTTTCCTTTCCCAGATGACCCTAGTTTGTGTCAATTTAACTAAAAATGAATGATTCTCTTACCTACTCGGGAAGAGAACTGAGCTAGGGAGATGGAATGAGGGGCTGGACTGTGATGTGACTGATCCATTGATTACAGTCTTGTGGGACCTACTGGGACCCAGAAAGGAGAAGAGAGAAGCACACTGCACCCTCAGAAAGGGTGAGGAAACCATTCTTACTGTGGCTACAGGAGTGAGGAAAAGACCATCTCTTTTCAGCCTTCCCCCTCCAGCTTCCTTGTTCTTCATAGCATGTCTACTGTTTTAGAATAACAGAAGCTGGGCAGATTGGGTTCAAAGTAGGGAATGATGAGGCTGCTGCAGGGAGATTTCTGCAACAGGTCCAGAGGTCACAGCCCAGCTAAAGTTATACAGACCTTGTCCAGAGATTCCAACAAGTGACTACTCACAGATGCCCACAGTCCATCAAATATCGTTTTAAGATTAATGTTTTTAATATTTACTAAAATTAAAATATTTTAATATTTAAGATATTTGATTTTTAGTATTTAATATTTTTAATGTTTAATTTTTAAAAATGTGTGTATGTACATGCTTGTGTGATGTTTATGGGATGTGTGTGATGTGAGTGGCTGCAGGATTAAAAGAGGACACTGGATATCCTCTCTCATACTCCTTATTCCCTGTCACAGGCTCTCTTACTGAGGCTTAGTTATTTTGTTGTATAAATGAAATTCATTTCATTTTCTCGCCATATAATTTACTGTATAAATATGCTGTTCTTACCTACCACTCTTCTAAACTACCTGCCTTTGGAGGGAGAGAGGGGAATCCTTGTGTCTGTTGTGTGGAGGGGTGTTAGAGTAAGGTTCAGATCTCAGTGATGTTTCTGTTGTAGGTACAATGTTGTTTTCAAGTACTTACTGAGTGTACGCCGTGTCCAAGCTGAACTGCAGCACTGCTGGGCCCTCCAGATGCAGCGCAAGCACCTCAAATCTAACCAGACAGATGCAGTCAAGTGGCGCCTAAGAAATCACATGGCCTTCTTAGTAGATAATCTTCAGTACTATCTCCAGGTGTGTTCTGAGTGATGCATGGAAGAGGTGGGGAAAGGAGACTGGAAAACACTAAGAAAGGTCTTTAATTCTGTATTTGGTAAAATGCTGCAGTTGGAGAAAATTCAGGAGTTATATCACTAGGTATGTTTCTTGAAATTTTAATGGATAAAGGAATTTAGGTCTTCAGGATACTTGTTTGTCAGACATTCTGGAATTCTCAGGCATATCCAGTCTTTGATGTTGTAGCATGACATCATCATTTACAAAGTTCATACTCAGGAACCATAGAACAATTACTACCCCCATCCCAAAGAATCTCATTTTAGAATTGTGTTGCTCCTAGACTATGTGTAGCCCAAACCTATCCTTGGCTACATGTTGGACCAGCCTGTTATTGCTAACCAAGTCAGTCAGTGGAAGGGATGAGGCATGAGTGGATTAGACTGGGGTAGGGGAGAGTGGTCTGCCAAGACATTTGAAGCAATAAGAATTACACATCCATGGAGCAAGCTGGAAAGATAGCTTAGCAGTTAAGAATGCTGACTGCGTTTGCAGAGGACCCAAGTTTGGTTCTTAGCACCCACATGGTGGCTGACAACCATCAGTAACTCTAATCCCAGAGGATCTGACACCCTCTTCTACCCTCTGTGGGTATGCACCAGGTATGCATGTGGTGCACATACACACATGCAAGCAGAATTCACATAATTTTTCTTTTAATTGCACAACCATGAATGGGACTATAGCTCAATTGGTAGACTGCTTATATAGCATACAGGAAAGGTTTGAGCCCCAACCACTCAAAATGTCAGATGTGGTGGCACCAGTCTGTAATCCCAACACTTGAGAGGTAGAAGCAAGAGGATCAGAAGTTCAAGATCATCCTTTACTATACAGTGAGTTTGAGGCCAGTTTGAGCTCTATGAGACCCTGTCTCAAAAATAGAAATTAGCCGGGTGTTGGTGGAGCACGCCTTTAATCCCAGCACTCGGGAGGCAGAGGCAGGTGGATCTCTGTGCGTTCGAGGCCAGCCTGGTCTCCAGAGAGAGTGCCAGGATAGGCTCCAAAGCTGCACAGAGAAACCCGGTCTCGAATAAACCAAAAAAAAAAAAACCTTTATTGGGCTGGAGAGATGGCTCAGAGGTTAAAAGCACTGACTGCTCTTCCAGAGGTCCTGAGTTCAATTCCCAGCAACCACATGGTGGCTCACAACCATCCATTATAAGATCTGGTGCCCTCTTCTGGTGTGCAGATATACATGGAAGCATAATGTTGTATACATAATAAATAAATAAAATCTTAAAAAAAAATAGAAATTATACAACTTGTTGACACACAGCTATAACATCCACATTGGGAAGTGCCAGGAAGGAGACTCATAAAGTCTGGGCTACAGCAAGACCCTGTGTCAAAAGAAACAAATGGCAGGGAATGTAGCTCAGTGCTATAGCCTCCCCTTGCATGCACAAGGCCCCAGCAACACACACACTTTACAAGGCTCAGCAAGTGAAACATGTCTTTGGTCAGCCTAAAGTGGCTACAAGGAAGATGAGAGCTGGTAAGGTGATTGAGCAGGTGAAGGCTAGAGCTACCAAGCCTGATGACCTGAGACCTACATGGTGAAAGGAGACTCTGGAACAGACCCTGGAAAATTGTCCTTTGCCCTGCACGTGTATACTGCAGCATGAACAATTCACACACATGCATGTGCCCACGCATGCACCTATGCCTGCCCTCCCTCCTTCCCTCTTTCCCTCTCTCCCTCCCTCCCTTTCCTTTCTTTCTCTCTCCCTCGGAGATGAGAAGAACCATAAAGTAGAGCACTCGGAATGTGTCAGGCTCTAAAAAAATATTATCCATCCATCAGGTAGATGTGCTGGAGTCTCAGTTCTCACAGCTTCTTCATCAGATCAATTCTACGAGGGACTTTGAAAGCATCCGATTAGCCCACGATCACTTCCTAAGCAATTTGCTGGCCCAGTCCTTTATTTTGCTGAAACCTGTAAGTAGGAATGGTCTGTTTCCTTAACCTGCTTCTAATATGCCCCTTTAGGCTCTTGGAATTGATAAGATATGAAACTTATTAAGCTTTTTTTCAATTCCATTTTTACATTTTTGGCAACTCAAAGCAAAATAAAAAGACAGCATTAAAAGGGAGGTGGAATATTGTATCATAGGGTGTGGTGAACAAGGTTAGGGAAAAGAACCATGTATTGGGGGCTGGAGAGATGGGCCAGAGGTTAAGAGCACAGAGTTCAGTTCCCAGAGACTACATGGTGGCCCACAGATCTGGTGCCTCCTTCTGGTGTGCAGGCATACACGCAGAAAGAACACTGTATAATAAATAAATAAATAAATAAACCTAACCCCCTGGAAGAAATGACTTACTTGAAATTCAGAAATTTCCCTGACTCTGAGGGAAAACAGAATGCACTTTTTTTGTTGTTCAAAAGATTTATTTATTTACTTATTTGACATGCAGTGTTCTGCCTGAATGCCAGAAAAAGGCACCAGATCTCATTATAGATGGTTGTGAACCTCCATGTGGTTGCTGGGAGTTGAACTCAGGACCTCTGGAAAAGCAGCCAGTGCTCTTAACCACTGAGCCATCTCTCCAGCCCCCAAAATGCACTTTCTTAGAAATCTTTTGGACCAGGATCAACCAATAATTTGAAAGTTGTTTTCATAAGCACATAGTCTCTGTCACTCTGGGCATGTGTCCATCTGCAAGTACACACATTTAGTACCTTTGTGGAAGCTCTCCTCAACCCTGACTACATACTGGAGTCATCTGTGACATTGTAAAAATCTAAGGCCAGACACTCAAGTCATATGCAGATTGGGGTCCAGGCACCAGTAATTTTTAAAGCACACAAGCTGGTTCCAATCCCAAAATGAAAAATAAGAGACTGAAATAATCGTATATTATATAGTGTTTATACTTTAATCTCTGCAGTGACCAAGTTGTACTGCTCAGGGCGCCAACCATAAATGGTATAGGCTTCTTTTTGCTGCTGTTTAGGGCTGTTATTTGCCAAATCAAGGAAGAATGACTTAAGTAGCTACCATCCTAAAGGGGTCTGTGAATTGAAGAAAAACAAAAAAAAAAAAACTTGCAGTGGTAGACACTATTCTTCCACTGCATGGGTGTATCCCTGAGGAAAAGCAGAACATCAGAACAGGTCATTATAACAGGTCTTTATTGAGTGCTTACTGTATGCAAGGCACTGGGGATACAAAGAGGTATAAGTCATGGCTCTGCCCTTAAGGAGCTCACAATCTAGTTGGAAAAACAAGATGTACATACAAACGTCAGCAACAACACAGGTGGCCTGGACAGTTCCCAGTGAACAACACAGAACTACAGCAGAAAAAGGCAGAGTTCACTAAAGGCTGCAGTGAGGAAGGAGCCTTTTACAGAGTGGGGCTTGGATTGGTACTAAAGAGAAGAGAAATCCCAGGGAACAATGCTCATATATCAAGGCAAGAGCACACTCAGTGGGTCTAATAAAGGATGATGAGCTAATAGCGACTGAAGTGGATCTTTGTGTAGGGGACAGAGAAGAATGCACCTGTCCCAGGAAGGATGTTCATTCTGCATGTTGCTGGGGAGGCCCAGACAGCCTTGAAGGTGGTGGTGTCTGTGTAGAGTTTAGACAAGGGAGGTCAGCTGTTAGACTATTTCCCCAAACCTTGCATTTGCAGAAGTTTCTTCCTTCATTTCCTAACACCAACTATATTTTTGGGTAGGTGTTTCACTGCCTGAATGAAATCCTAGATCTCTGTCACAGTTTTTGTTCACTGGTCAGTCAGAACCTGGGTCCACTGGATGAGCGAGGAGCTGCCCAGCTGAGCATTCTCGTGAAGGTGAGTCTGCCTGGCCACTGGAAATACATACTCCCACCCCCACACCAGGGAACAAACAGCCTTTGCTCTGAGTCAATAAAGTGTATCCCGGAACAGACAGATGACAAGATAAAAAGATAAAAAGCATTGCTATCAGTAGACTTTGAAGATTAATGTGCTGCTCACAGTGTTCAGGAATAATTCAGCCCTAAATAGTTTATTCAGCCCACCAAGTATGCATTGGCTTTGTGCTCATTTTCTCACATCCCACTTCCTTCCCCGAACCAGCCTCCCATCTCACTTGTAAATATAATCTGAGACTATATTTATCTCCTTGTAACAAAGCAAGCTCAGTGCAATCCCAGTGTGTGATAGAATATATTAATCTGAAATGAGCCGTTACATTCCTACTAATGAGAAAGGACTTTCATGGAAGTCATGCATTTTACAGACACATTACTAAGAAGTCAGTCATTCTAGGAGCCGATAGTAATGGGAATGTGTTCCTGCAGAAATTTAAGCAAGGCTTTTCCAAAGACTCCAAGCGCCTAGCACTCTGCATGGTAGTGACAGCTCAGCTCTCTCAACAGGGCTTTAGTCGCCAGTCTTCACTCCTGTTCAAGATTCTTTCCAGTGTTCGAAATCACCAGATCAACTCAGATTTGGCTCAGTTACTGCTCCGGCTAGATTATAACAAGTATTATACCCAGGCTGGTGGAACTCTGGGCAGGTAAGAACAATCCTTGAGTAATTCATTAGATTTGGGAGAGGGAGTTAATGAGTTATAGAAGTCCAAAATGGAAATTTAGGTTTCATCTACAAATGCCCTCATTTTATAAGCAAGGCTCAGAGATGTGGCAAGGTGCTGGCAGGGAGGGGGAGTCATGTTTCATAATTTTATTGGAGACTATGTTCTGGGAAGAGGTCATCAGCATGGTGAGATACTACAGCTGAGGGTGAGTTCTGTGCCAGGTTAAATACTGTATGTTCTAAGGGAAAGTGTGGCTTGTACAACCTGCTCTGACATGTACTAGCAGTGAAGCTGTGGCACCATGCTTCATTGGCCACAGTTTTCTCAATAAAAGTGAGCACTGACTCTGCTAAACTTTAAATCTAATAATAAGATCCAATGGTAGTTGGCTTCTCAGAGGTCTGTGTCATTACCATCTGGAAAAGCATTTCATTGCACTTCTTCCTCTCTAAGATGTCCACAAATATTTTTCTTTCTAACTAGCTTTAGCAGAAGCCAAACATCTTTGAGTATCATGGTAACATCAGCTATATCTCTGATAGCCATGCTTCTTGGGAAACCATGATTTTTCATGAAACTTTTTTTTCCTTTTTTATAGTTTTGGGATGTGAAAACTGGTTCATAAAATGAAGTAACAGGCCATCCTGCCACCTTCTGATGTCTGTAACACATCTCCCCAGTTATTAAACATCAGAGATGCCTGCAAACTGGTGAAAGGATGCTACCTTCTCTTCTAGAAGAGGTATTAACCCTACAATTCCTGTGGGGAACAGGCCAGCTATGTCTCTGCTGACCACCCAAAGGCTTTCATCCTTTACACTAAGACATCTGTTGGGTGGGTTTATTTGTACAGCAGTGGTGTACTGAGCATTTATTATGTCCCTATGGACTCATCAAGGTATAGAAGATACCGCAGAAAACAATGGGGATCAATAAATCATGTTTAGGTTTGGTTCATATTTAAGAAAGGAATCATACATCTAGATGTTACCACCAAATTGGAAATGACTTAAGATAGGCCATGGGCTTTCCCTCCTCTGTAGCATGAATTTATTATTATTATCCTTCAGAAATTTAAGATTTGAGAGCCTCCCTCCTTTAAGGCTACTTAAAACCTGATCTCAAGAATTCAACCAGTTGCTACTCATTCTTTCAGACTGGTAAAAGGGACAGTTCTAGCTAAAGGTGATAGAGGTCAAATTGTACATATTTTAGATACTGAAAATTGCAAACTTAATTTCCCCACCTTAGACAAACCATGAGTTAAGGTTATGCTCAGGTAGTGCAGTCACAAATGTTCCTATCAGCATAAACAAAGGAAATATTCCATTAACTTCCCTACCTCCAAGCTGTACAAGAATGCAGTGTTTGTAGTCACTGAATGTTCTCTTCATCTACATTTTCTACCACCCACTATGAAAGCCTGTACTTGTCAACTACAGAGGATCCCTTCTGTTGGTAACACATCCCTATTGTTAACTCTAGGAGCAAAGCATGGCAGATAGTGGCTACTGCTTGTTTTTGTAAATAAAGTATTATTCAAACAGCCACACATACTCATTTAGCTAATGTCTATTATGATTGCTTTCATCTCATAGCAAAAGACAAGAAATTGTGACAGACGAAATGACCACAAAGCCTAAAGTATTTATTGTTTGGCTCTTTATAGAAAAAATAAAGGCTGGTAGCCTTTATTTAGAGAATGAGAGACTGGCTGTTTGTTAATGGGGATGGTGTTGAGTTCGAGGAAGGAATAGCATCCAGCAGCTGTGACGGTTAACGTATTTTACATAAAATGTCCTATTAAGTTTATAGTCTGTCACTGTCCATTCCCTTCCATAGTCTCAGGTCTTGATACCCAGAGCTGTGCCATTTAGTTTTGGCACGACTAGTTATCTAGGCCCTCATGTACTTTAAGCTAAGTTTTTAGAAACAATTTTATATCACCTTGGATAACCTTTTGACATCAACAGTGATGCAACAGAGTAAGTTTCATTCCTACATTTTTATCTTCCTTTGTTTGCTGTACTGCTGAAGTGACAGGACTGCTAGAAAACTTCAGAGGATCCTATGTTACCATGTTCTGAGATTAAGCTCAAAGAAACAGATAAAGAAATCTCAGTTACTACAACCAAAGAGAGTCAACATTTATTTTATCATAAAAGTCCAGCAAATAAAACTATGTACAAGATCCATGCAAAGAATACAATTACACACAAGACACACTTAAACACAATCTCCACAATAGCAGGAATAAAACCAGTAAGACCAAGTATCTTTAGTGAGAAACATAATCATGTTTATATTTTGGATGCTGCTTGAATCCAATTCTCTCCCCAACAATGAGGCACTGGATCACCCACTCTTGTGACACCACAGGCAGCTGCAAGGCTTCAGCACACTTGAGCACCGAGGCTGGGCATGAGGGGTCTGTCACCACCACATCAAATACCCCTAAAGCAATGTCTGCAAGAAGTAGGGAGAAGTGAACGAGGAAAAAACACTCAGTTTAGCTCTTGTTTAAAAAAACAGGTGTGCCTTATATCCAGTATTCCTACTAAAGCCCTCTTTTACAGATACTGTATGTTCACAACATAAAAGTTGGAATCACCACTTACTAACCTTGTAGAACTACTGAATAGAAAATGCCACTGGAGACTATAAAAGCAGGGACAGCTTTGTCCTTCATTTATACCAACCCATCCTTTTGGAAGGTGGGACTGCTCTTAAGGACTGAGACTTGGAACACACAGGCTAACAGCTGTTGAGTCTAAGGACATCCCTGGAATGACAATGAATACACGCTTTCCAGGTACCTTTGTTATGGGCACTTGAATGGTGCTGCTTCACAGAGGCTGCCCCTCCAGTCATGAGGATCTCAGACCAGAGCTCCAGGAAGTTCTGTTGTTGATCTGACACCAAGAGTACCTTCAGATTCTGGAAAGGGTTTTCACGAGGTTGCCTACGGAGTTGGAGACAGTGTTTGGGAACTGGATAGAACCTTAGTAGGACCTGTCATATCTAACAATTAGCTCATTTGCAAAGAACTCCTGCACATCTGAATGCTTTCCTAACTAGGCCATGTACTGGAACAAGCCCTGCCTCTCTTCTGATGAGGTATATACTCTGGGATCCCAGACTCCACTAATAAACCAATGAAGTTATGCTGCTGAGTCTCCCCCCCCCCTTATTTTTTTCAAAGTTTAATGATTGAAAGTTAATTCGAATTGCAGTGCTTCCCCTAATAGGGGATACTGACCCTACAGTGACCCCGTTCTTTCCACATCTTCAGAAAGTTCCCAGCCAAAGTAGACTGAGACTTTACAAGTAAAGAAAGTACTTGACTACCACAATCATTTCAAATTCTTAGTCTACAGATATTTCAGTTTCTAGTAACATTTTTTTTTTCCCCAACTAGACTTTCCTCCCAAAAGCTAGTCTTCCTATCTTCTCAGCTCTGGATGGGCTCCCAAACACTCACCAATCCAGAATTCGCTGCTCCTCAAGGCTATACCCAGCAGGCAGCAGATAATTACGGTAGTTTTGGAGCTGGTTGGCATGGCAGCTGTCATGGACCCAGACATGAGACACACAAGGAATTCCACTGGCAAGGCACAGGAAGTACTTCCGGGTTCGACAATGCTGATCAGCAATTAGGAGACACTGGTAGGCTGTGTTACACTAGAAGAAAAGGAGCCCAGCTGACAGTTCTGGTGGAGTCTAGGGAAACCTTTCCTGATAATCCCTTGAGAGCAGATGTGAAGACTTCCAGTATGGAAGTCAAAAATACCATCTAATCAGTTTTTATACCTAAGGCTGTGTTTCTCACTGAGAAGCTCAAAACTGCTTTTTGAGACATTTTCTCTGTATCTCACCTTCAGCTTTTGGAAGGCCTAAATCTCAAGGGTCAACCACACCAGGTACCCAATCTTTCAGGCTAAGGCAGCATCACCAATAGGTTTTCTATTACATATAATTTCAACCTGTTGCTCTCTCAACAGAGCCACTACCACCTAACCCCAGGTGTACAACAAAAATGCTGGACTGAGGTGGCACAGTACCCCAGAATTTAGCCAACCTCTGAAACCCCTCTTGGACCTTTTCTCAATATAGAAAGTGTGCACCCAAAAAAATTCCTCACCTGGGCTTCATTGAAGTCTTCAAGGATATACCCAGCTCCTGCTCGAAGCTGGCATTCTGTATACTGCTTGTTGAAAGGAGGAATTTCTAAAAATTCTATATATACATAAAAGAAACAACCAAGATTATTTTTAGTAGTATAATTTTAATAATAGTTGGTTTCCTAGGTGCTACTTTAATACCTATTTGTAACTGCTTCCTTTTCTGCAGCTATCTGTTATGGCTTAGACAGGCACACAGATTTATTAATTGATTTGAGGAACTGAACAGCCTACATCTCCCATTGTTCAGTCAGCTTTCTGAGCTTGTAGCACTAAGCACCTGTATGAACTGCCTTGTGAAGTCTAGGCTGTTAAAACAACACTGGAAAAGCAAAGAGAGCAAACCATCTTTAACGTAATGCCAGACAGCTGCAGGGAATCCTCAAGGGACTGCTAATGCTGAGATGAGGCTAGGCCACGGCTTGCATACTTTTTCTTCTACGGTTCCTGTCTGAATTCTGTTTGACAGGTACTACAGCGGCTCTCATAGCCCAGCTGCCCACCACCAGAGCATCGCTACTCAGATTTTGCATATGCAGCTTCCAAACCATAATCTTAAATGTAGCTCCCTGATCATGCTCCCCAAGCCCTGTACATGCTTCTGCGGCTATAACTGGTGAGTAGTTAGGAATAATTAGAGTCATCACACATCTTCAGTTATATCATTTTATGATAATCACTTTCCCTCATTTTGATTCCTTCTTGTAACTCAACATTAGTCAAAACTCTTATAAAACAGCATCCCATCTAGCTTGGACAGACATTTGGAGACTACTGTCACTCACTGTATACATTTGATCTACATATTGTCTCCTACACTACTTATTTGTCAGACCTCTGCAATACATTTTACCCCCACCTGACTACATACTTCACCTAGACAGAGTAATAGATGCCATATAAATGTGGCAAAACTTATTTTAGAGTAGGGTGATAGTGATGCACGCCTTTAATCCCAGCACTTAGGAGGCATAGGCAGGCAGATCTCTGTGAGTTCGAGGCCAGCCTGGTCCACAAAGCTACACAGAGAATCCCTGTCTCGGAGAACAGAACAAACAAAAAGGACCTAGAAGTTAATTTTTTCCCAACTATCCCAGGACACTGGGGACACCACAATCCCTTCTACTCAGAATAAAATTCATCCTCCACATGGGTTTTCTTAAGTAGGTGCTAGAGCATAAATGGGAAAAGCAGCAAGGCATCAGAAACCTGGCTTATTTGTATGGTTATAGGAAGGTAAAGCTAGCACTATGTTCTAATCCCATCTGCCATTATTGTTAAAAAAAGGGCAACTTAACCTTGATAGGTTTTTATTGTTCATTTTATGTATGAAGAATGAGACTCTCCCTAGGCCAGATGATGACTGAGCAAGCAAAGGCACCACACCAAGCCTAGAGACTTGAGTTTGATCCCCTGGGACCCCTTATGGTAGGAGGAAAAAGAACTGACTCATCCAAGTTGTCCTGTGTTTTCCACACGTGCACAGATACATACACACCCATGTATAAATCTATAGATACCTGAGTGTGTACCAAAGTCTCTGTAGTATGTAAATTAATAAGCAAAAAATCTACCAGCTGCTTACCAAGACTACCTTGAGAACCACTCACTAAAAATTTTGTCAAAGTCTACAAACCACAAGTAGGGTACAAGTGAATTTTACTTGCTTGACCAGAATCACAGTTAACATGTGCCCACTGCCCCTCAAAGGAAATGGAAAGAGTGCATGCATGGATCAGCACCCCTGGGAACTTACCCTCCTCTTCTTCACTGCTTCCTGTAGGACCATCTAGCAGTTTAGAGCGGCTGGCCAGCTTGTCATTGGTTGTGGCCATGGTAAGGAGAAAGGCATAGCCCAGAAACAAGGTCTTGTTGAGGGGCAAAGGCCCTCTTGGCTCTTCCAGGACAGAAGGTTCACCTGTGTTGTCTCCACTCTCGCAGGGGCTCACAAATTCTCCTGCCCCCACTGTACCTAGCAAGGCAAAGCACTAAAATGACACACACAGACCACTGCCTGGACAAAGGCCAGGACAAAAGCACCAAGGATGACTTGATAGGCCATGTCCTGATGAGCTTTGTAAGCTATGACCCAAAGATTATTAATACAGCCAATCATTCTAAATGGCTGACGACAACCTAGGCCCAAATTTACAATGAAGACACAATGACATTTAAAGTCTATTTTCATATATGGAAATCAACTGATACTACTTCCGTAACATCAAATACAACCAAGGCCACCTGAAATCAAAGGTGTCTCCAGAACAGAAAAGTATATAGTATTTGGAAGTCTTCAACCCACTTTCACCACCTGGGTCTCTGATTTCCCCAGACTATGTGATGTTTTGAAGCAACTTTTAAAAGACAAACAAAACAGTCCCAC